TTAGGCGTGCATGATGGGGCCTGTGAAGTTGCGGCAGGGCGATGACGGGCGCCACTCGATCCATGTTCTAGCCTCGCGCAGTGCGCCATCTGATAAGCCGACGCCCTTTTGTCTCTGACAATCGGCATGAGGGGCCAATCATCCAACGTGGGCGGCGCGGGAATGACGCGCCAAAAAGTGTAGCTCCGATAATTAAGTCGTTGCGTCAAAGCTTCCCGTCGCCTTCGTCACCACTTATACACGCCCATCACTCCAGAAGACAATGCGCACAACGCCCTTTTTGCGCATCCAGCCCTCTGACAAGACCCCTCGCACTGCTTCGAGGCTATCCCCCAACTGCCTGCTGCCACTCCCAAAGTAGGCAACATGGCGATGGCCACGCAGCGAGCCGAGGCAGCGGATCCGACCGGCGTGGGAGAAGTGTCGCTCGGCCAAAAAATGATGTCTGCCGTCTCGGGTAGTGTCCTCACGTCGTTGCTGGGTATGTCACATCTACGCAGTTGTTTGCCATGCCAGAACTGACACCAGCAAGTCACCCCTCTCGACGTCGTCCGCGTACGACTGCAATCGCAAGAAACCGTCCCGACCACCTCGCCACGCCCACGCGGATTCAATGGCCCAACACTCACACAATTCCGCGATCTACCACCCAATCTCGGCATCTCCTCGTGCTGCAGAGAGGTTTTTTGGATGAACAACAAGGCACCCTTCTGCGTAGCGGGGCCAACTATGGCGCCCATAAACCCCGCCGATTTGAGCTGTGCCGTGGAGGAGGTCGAACGCAAAACCATAAATAGCACATGGGACGGTCTGCGCAAGATTGCCCAGAACGAGGGTCCGCGGACACTCTGGAGAGGACTGTCACCGACCCTAGTCATGGCAGTGCCTGCAAACGTCATCTACTTCGCTGGATACGACTGGCTGCGAACAGCACAAGCCTCACCTTTGCGACAAACAGTTTCCGATGCGTACATACCATTAGTGGCAGGAGCCACTGCGCGAGTTCTTGCTGCCGTAGCAGTGGGTCCCATCGAAATATTCCGAACACGAATGCAGGCAGCAAATTCTACTGCCACCGCCGCTGGGCACTTCCGCGATACAATGGACGGGCTCAGAGAAATGGTCGGCAGCCAGGGTGTCTCCAGTTTATGGAGAGGCCTCACGTTGACCCTCTGGCGCGATGTACCTTTCTCCGCCATGTACTGGTGGGGTTACGAAGCCACAAGAAACGTCTTGACAGACCAACGAGGAAGAAGGGAGGCCAGGAACGATGGTTTCGAATTTCGCATGGGCCGAGGCGAGGAGAGAGTACGGAGAAGAAGCAGGTCAAGAAGCCAGGAAAACCATAGAGACACATTGGTCGACAGCTTCATCGCTGGTGCTACGTCAGGAGCAGTTGCTGCTTTCATTACCACACCATTTGATGTTGGAAAGACACGCCAACAAGTTGCGCGGCACATGGGCGACACTGCAAAGGACATCGCAAACTCAACACGGCCAGAAGACCAATCCATGCCACGCTTCCTCGCGCATATCTACCGCGAACAAGGCATGCCGGGTCTGTTCAAGGGCTGGGCAGCCAGATGTCTCAAGATCGCGCCTGCATGCGCTATCATGATTAGCTGCTACGAGTTCAGTAAAAAGATGGCCTTGGATATGAATGGACGACGGGAACGGGAACGATTAGAAGCATGAACTGCAATACGCCACACCACCAACCCCGGTGCGTAGCACACACCACATCCATTACTCGCGTTATCGGCTTCACACATCACATGATAATTGCATAGCGGCGCATTGGGAGCGTACTGGTTAAAATCCACTCATGGTTGCATTGGCGGCGTTTCGTGCAGACAATGGGCGGGCATTGTTTTATTGTGTATTTGGAACCGGATTGAAGCGATACCAGCGAATACGTCTGTACATGGCACAGGCAGCACTCAATAATGAAAAGTCACAACCATTAGTCATGCTGACTTGCTTTTTCAGTGCATTGTCTACTCACATCCCTCAAGAAAGCGAGGAATGCTTCCTGACATGTCTCTGCCTGACTGACATATATCTCATGGCCCGGGCCCTCGACGAGCACCAACTTACTTCCTTGGATTGTCTCAGCCAAAACCTCCATGTCTTGTACTTTCACAGCAGCACTCTGCGTTGGCGATAAGATCAATGTTGGTACTTTGATCTCCCTCAACCACGGTCTCGCGTCCAGTGTTGACAAGAACTCCGCATACTGAGCCAACCCCTCACCATCACTAACAGCAATCTGTTCCAGATACCACGGAAGATAGTGCGGATCCGAAACCGGAATTGTGCCAGGAACTCGCGACAAGGCCTCCGCCCAACCCCGCGATCCAAGCTCCCTGCATGCCGCCGGCCAATTCTTCTTACCGAATGCGAAGAGTTGTAGGGCTTGTGCCGGCAAATGAGTAGGTGTTGAGCATACTGTCAAGCTCAAAACTCTCTCGGGATGCCTGGCTGCGAATATCTCGCCCAGTATACCTCCAGTTGACTCGCCAAGGAAATGCACTTTCTCCACGCTGAGTTGGTCGAGCGTGTCGAGGATTTCCCCCAAGATTGAATCTACGGTATAGTCATAATTTGCTGTGTCCTTTGGATAACTAGAGTGCCCGTGGCCTCTCAAATCGCGTCGTATGACACGGTATTGGCGAGATAAGATTGGGACCCAATGGTACCAGAAGGCGGCATGCCGCCCAAAACCATGTTGTATCAAGATTGTCTCTCGGGGTTGCCAAGGATCGGTAAAGTCGTCGAGGATGTAGTGAGTTCGCTGACCGGAGGGGTGGTGAACGAATGTCAGACCGGATGCGTCGCGATCTAACGGCATGGTCAGCAATTGTCGAGACTAAGAAGTCTTCGTGTCGCTCGGTTTTCTTTACTGTCCATGACTTTTTACTCAACTCTGACCTCATATCTTCATTGCCGATTTCATTCCACTAGTACCGTACTGGTGTATTCTGGGATACATCGGTTTGTGGGGCATTTGCGGGGAAGCTGCAACGCCCACGACTATACCCCAACACTTGGTCTGATGCGGCACCAACAAGAGCTACCGTAAAGATTGAAAGACTTTAACCTATGATAGTCCAGCTCTACTTGGGAAAGGACTTGAAGTTGATCTTTGAACAGCCAGAATTCGTAGTGACTGAGCTTTTCATCTCCACATAGCGAGCATCGGCCATGTCCATCCTCGATATCGTTCAGGCATCTTGGAGATCATCTTTCGTCCTCAAACTAGGGTTAGTCACTACAACACCAATACTACTCTTGTTGACGGTATACTTCATTGTTGTGCCGAATGCTATTAAGGTAACGTTGTTCATCCGATAGCCCGTCTCGTATCACTACTGACCTCACCTGTAGGATTCTCGGCGTCGACATCTACCACCAGGCCCAAAAGGGCACCCATTCGTCGGTTCTCTCTTCGAGCTCGCAGATACGGAAGCTGTGCGTGATAAAGTCGTCGCATGGCGCAAACAATATGGCCATGTATTTCACACCAAGATTGGCGGAACAGACTACATATGGCTATCTTCACCAAAGGCCGTCAAAGACTTGATGGATAAGAAATCGAACATATATTCCTCACGAGCCCCTGCACCCATGGCACAAGATGTCTTATCCGCAGGGCGACGCCAATTGTTCATGCAATATGGACCCAGGTGGCGCAGCATCCGAAAACATAGTCACGCGCTCCTCAATCTCAACGCGAGCATCAATTACCAACCTGTTCAAGACTTTGAGAGCAAAGTTCTGTTAAAACAATTAATGCAAGATCCCAACGATTTCATGTCCATCAACAGACGCTACTCCGCCAGCGTCATAATGCTGGTCACATATGGCTATCGCATACCCAGTTGGGACGATCCACTCATAAAACGCATCTACGACGTGCTGGAGCGCTTCACTAGAAATACTGCACCAGGAGCATGGGCCATTGATTCGTTTCCTGCGCTAGCGTCCTTACCGCAATGGCTGTTCGGGAATTGGAGAACACACGGCCAGAAGCTCCATGAACAGGATAGCAAAGTGTACCTTGATCTCTGGAACAAGCTCAAGAAGGACACGGATGCCGGAGTAGCAAAAGATTGCTTCACAAAGACATTTTACCTAAACGGACCCGAGAAGTCGGGCATCGATGAGCTGGCTGCAGCGTACACGTGCGGTGGGCTGATTGAAGCCGGGTCTGAAACTACAGGTACGACACTGAACAACTTTGTCCTTTCTATGGTTTTATTCCCTGAGGCGCAAAAGAAGGCACAGGAAGAGTTGGATCGTGTGGTTGGCAAGGACAGATTGCCGACGTGGGAGGATGAGGAGAATTTGCCCTATGTGAGAGGTGTGATTAAGGAAGTATTGAGGTGGAGACCAGTGAACAAATTTGGAATGCCGCATGCGACTAGCGAGGATGACTGGTACGAGGGCTGGTTCATTCCTAAGGGAAGTATTGTAGTGCTGAACTGGTGGTATGACTCTCTGTCTCTTCACTTTGCTTGTTGGCATCCTGAGATGAAGATTTTACTGATCGTCACAGGGCAATTCACAACGACCCGGACCTCTGGCCCAATCCCTCAGCTTTCGATCCCTCTCGCTACCTAAACCATACTGCATCTGCAGCACACTACATGAATACTGCCGATCCTTCAGAGCGTGACCACTTCGCCTATGGCGCAGGACGACGCTCATGTCCAGGCGTGCACGTCGCCGAACGTTCGCTTTTTATCAACGTGTCTCGGGTACTTTGGGGGTTTAACCTTACTAAGAAGGTTGGAAAAGAAGGCAAAGAAGTACATGTCAACACAAAGATGGAGCCCGGGTTCTTTAGTGTGCCGGAGCCATTCCATTGTGATATCCGGCCTAGGAGTGAGGCGCATGCCAAGGTTATGAGAGAGGAGAGCGAGAGAGCAGAAAGAGATGGATTGGATTATTGAACAGGAGTTTTGATCATTGTAAAAGTACTACTTGCTGTATCTTTCTCAGTATCCTTGCCTCTTTGGTGGTTCCTGGTAGCCTAAATTCCAGATCTTATCACTCTCCTCGCCAATCCACCGCTGGCTTTCGTTCGGGTAATCGACCGGCTGCCTAAAATAGATATTCTCTTGAGACAACTCTACAGCCTGGCCGGTCAATGTGTCATCTGCTAAAAAAGCATCAATAGCCTTGTTCACTGTTGACAAAGGCGTAATGTGCTCTTTAGGCCAGCGCTTTGCGACTTCTGGAGGACAGAGGTTTGTTGGAATAAAGGCTGGGCAGATTGCGTTAACTGTGATGCCCTCCTTGACGAATACGGGTCCAGAGGCGCGGCACAGACCCACCACGCCATACTTGCTGGCTGTGTACTGGGGGCATTGTATCATGGAACTTGAGCTCTCGTTAGTCTCGTGCTCGGTCTCAACACAAGCACCAGGAAAAGAAGTACTTACTATAAACCGGCCGCACTACTCGTGGCGACAAATTTGCCCTTCCCACCACCTGCCTCCTTGCTTCTTCTAACATAATACTTGAACAGCCACAATCCCTGCATCACGCCCTCGAGGTTGACTTCCATAGTCTTCGTGTTCAACTTCTTCACCAGACCTTCTTCATCCACCTCTTCCTTGTCCATATCCTCAAAGATATTCTGTCTATCGTCGATACCAGCATTTGCATGGCAAAAGTCCAGACGGTTGCCGCCCCATTCGTAAGCGCGCTTGAAGAGCTGTGCTTGCGATTTATAGGAGGAAACATCGGTTTGGTGGAAAATCGCGTCGGGGCCAAGGCTTGCGGCTACACGTTCGCCCGATGATGGATTCAGGTCTGCGATGACGACTTTATAGCCTTTGCTGTACAGATGGGTTGCTACTGCTTCGCCGATGCCAGAGCCTGCACCTGTTACGATAGCTACCGGTTTTGACATGCTTGTTATTATCCTTTTACTCCGCTTATTCCAGATATGATGCGAGTTGCGAAGGTAACTCTAGGGTTTGCAAGTAAAAGGTACTATATGTCGTTCCGGTGACTCTCGCTCCAAGCTCGCGTCTTTGCCGATCGGACGCATCCCCCGGCTAAGCTGCGCGGCAGACATCCTCGTGGTTGTGGCCATGGGGCGTGGAGATGGGTCGCAAAGACCCCACATGAAGCACGCCGGGAGTTGTGGACAGATACAGGTTACCCCGCACTAAACTACATGGAGCGTGCGGGGGTGAAGGTGCTCGGGGACTTCCGACCGATGTGCATCTTGGGCGATATCTACACGTGAAGATACCTCGGCGAGAAACACGACTTTACCAACAGTTAGATTGTATATCTTTTCGAATGGATATGCTTGGTTAGTACGAGAGCGCAGAATGATCTTGGAAGCGTCGAGCCAAAGTCGCTATGCAAATTCCTACCAATCTACTTACCGGAAACGAACATGTCCCACGCCGCGCTCAGACAATCTAGATCGATATTTTCCAGTTTATTTCCTTCCTCAATTTCTGGCCCATAAACCTTGGTCCTTCCTTCTGCCCATGCACTACCAGCCTGTCCATGCACAAAAGTTATGAAGTCCTCAGCTAATCTTCGAGCCGTCTTCTTCGCCTCAACAGGAAGGTTTTCTTCGAAGTTCTGGAACAAGAACGCCGCATCCAACATATGCGTACTTTTGCCCTCGAACCTGCCTTGCCAAGGATTTGGCTCGGTGAAGAAGTAGGAGGAAACCTTCCCTTTGAATGCGCGAGCGTAGTACTTTGCAGGGAGACGGTACGCAATGTCTGTCGCTAAATTGACGATGGAGGACATAGCCTCATCGTCAGGGGTTGAAGGTGTAACGCCATATGCTGATAAGACGGCTTGGGTGACAGATGTAGGAAGATTGCGAGAGAAGGATGAATGGATCGTCGACGCTATCCCATCATTCGGAAGGCCCATGAAGAAGAAGACATTGCCATCATGAGCACATGATCCTATCAGCAACTCTTCGCACCAGCTATTGTTCAGACTCTGGAGCGTATCGGTCGAAAGTTGCGCGAATGTGGCTGCTCCTGAGAGAATATCGCCATCGATGTAAGGTAGAAGTGGCATATCCATTGGAGTCTTTTCAACAAGTTCCTCCGGACTCATGGCAATAAGACTATTGATACGTTCCTGGGTCGAAACGTGCGTGAGGCCTAGTGTTTGCACGATGGCGTTATATGATCTCTCAGCTACAGACGCTGATAGTGGCTTGAGCATGATCGGTGTTCCCGACATGCTTATCGCACGTCTGAACAATGGCTCTTTGGAACTCAATTGATGCAACACCGAGACTGTTTACCTGGTTAGCTCTGTTACAGCCCACTGAAATGCCACGGAACAACAACGTACCAGCACCAGCGCTCTCACCAAACAAGGTAACGTTATCCGCGTCACCTCCGAATGCACCGATGTGCTTTCTAACCCACTGCAACGCACATCTTTGATCCCTCAAACTGTTGTTCCCAGGGTATCCAGCTTTCCTCAATTCCTCGCTCGTCAGGTTTCCTGGGGCACCTAGACGGTAGTTCACGTTGACGACGATAACTGGGGTGCCAAGTTTTGCGCTCATTCTGACTAGACGCGCTGGATCGTACTGCGGCCAGGAGTTTGCGCCCATGATGAATCCACCGCCATGTACGAAGACCATCACCGGGATGGCAATACTCATACCACTGGGAAGGGATGGAGCAGTAATGTTGAGGTTGAGGCACTCAGTGCTGGACATGGGAATCTCAGGGCCAGTGCCGATAGTACATTGGATCAGGGTTGACTGCTCGAATGCGCAACCGTCCATTGCTGGCGCACGAGGTCTAGTGTTGTAAGTACGCTACTTGAAGGATGAGATGAGTGGAACAGAAGTGACTTACCCGAACTCTGTAGCATCAACCATTTTCTCCCCATACTCAGCAACAAGCTCAGGCGCCGCAAGCCAATCCTCCAGCTTGCCATACTTGATTCCCAGATACCTTTTCAAGCCCTGCTCTTCTCTGCCAACACAAGAAATGAGAGGCGTTACAAGTGTAGTCTTTATCCATTCCTCTTCAGTACAAGCCCGCAGGCCACTTGAGAAAATATGAGGAGACATATTGTTGAGTATCTTTCACTACCATACCCTCCATCTTATATTCCCTTCCATTCACCTTGAACCAGGAGCCAACTAGTGCCTCTACCTGGCATAGTCGATGCAGCATATACCGGGTAAGCACGCACAGACCAACAGAGACGAAGGAGGCGGGTACTCCAAGCTAAGCGAAGTCCTCCAGGCTGAATGCAGCAAAGTAGACACGTGACATCGGCCGAAACCCATAGGTTTTATATCGCAAGAGTCTACGCTATGACCCTTGTCACGTGTACTTGAGATAGTGTTGAGGGTACCGCGTTGATAACCCTTGGCAGTTTGGACTATACTTTAACTACTTTGGGCGTTGTGGCGTGGAACTCCGGGCCTGAGAGTGGGAATAGCGGCATGCTATGCTAGGAAGAGTTTGGTAGACTTGTCATGTCGACCGAATGGTTATACTTCGTATGTACGCTTGTGACAGTAACGAGAAGGTGTCAGGGGCGAACACGCTCCATGCATCCCAGCATTTTCATGCTAGATCTCTATCTTTCGTTGCCGTTTCTACGTTATTTTCGGAACAAACCAGTCAGGGCCGAATTGGGGAACGGATTGCAGAGGTGCGGTATTGTGCATTTGGCATGCTCATCTTTCGATCCTGCCAAAACGCGCATCTTGACTACTGAGCCACATTATTGTTGAGTACACCAGCTACATAACGCGCTGCTGATGCTATGTTTGAGAACGTTAGTGAACTGGGTACTGAATCCGTTTCATTGTCTCTCTGGAAATCTTGTGATAGAAGCTCCTATTCTCTGATTACCTACAACACACTAGCTCTTGACGTCAATGCTCTTAATCAATTCCCCACCTAGTCGCTTAATCTCATGCACAATGACCTCTGAATTTACTTTGATCTCAACGCTATCCTTCTTTCCAGTGACTGGCACGCTGTTCCATCCAGCTTTGATCTTCCAACCTCTCTGTGCGGTGGCTATCGGATTCCATAATCCGACAATTTTGTCCAGTGTCTCCGGGTCCCAGAACCATAACACAGCATCGCCATAGACATCTAACAGATCTTGTGCAAAAAGCTGTGGAAGTGGTGTTGCGGCCGGCGATAAACTTGATGTTGCCTTTTGAAGGTCGAGGTTCTTGAACTTGGGTGTGCTCTTGGTAGATTTTGTTGGTCTGAGAGTGTACTTTGATGATATAGTTATGACTATATCGAAGTCGGAGACACCAGGTGTGAAGAGCAATCCTGGGTTCAGAGCCTCTTGCATCTTAGCAGCATCTATGTTGTTGATGTGCCCCAGCAGACGTTCTTCGTCCGCACGAACAGCCTGTGTAGCGGCCTTCGCCAATGCGGTCAAGCGCGCAGCAACGACCTTCTCGGGCTTTGCTTTGTTTGTCCAAGTTGTACCCTCTTCGTCTAGATTGGTCGCAGCGAAGAGCACGACGCGGTTCATAGCGGGATCTATGCGACGCCATGCTTCGAATCGTGTCCGCAACCGGTCGAGATCTTCAGACTTCATGCCTTTGGATGTGGTGTCCTCCAGATCTGCAGGGTTTGCAGAAAATGTTGTTGAGAAGTCTACAATGAGCGGGACATGTCTCCAGTCCCATCGACTGATCCATGACAATGTTCGTAGGAAACCGGTGGTTGCGGTTGAAGGTACGGGCCAAGGATAGGGTTGTAGGAACGTGCGAATGACGAGAAGCTCAATAAGTTCAGGGGAAAAGTGTGGGGCGAGGAGGTGCGACGCGAACCACTTCTTCGTCAACCGTATTGCTGGTGAAAGGGCCAGGAATCGGGTACATAGGGTTTGTAGGACTTGCGAATGTAGAGGCGCCTGTACGAACTCGCGCTTGTACAATGCCAGGGATGTAGCCGCGGACTCTCTCGATATGCCATCCAGCGACTTATCCTTGATTTGACGATCGAACAGAGTAGGCTCACGGTCGTGATAGATACGAATTCGGAACGTGAAACCCGCAACCACAGTGACATCAAGGAACGCCTGGTTCTGAGCTGGCTGTGACGGGTTCTCCATGCCAACACGAGCGACGTAGCCGGCTTCGAGCTTTGACAAAAGCTCAGCTAGCCTGAGCAGGAAAGCGATCTTGGTCCGCTGTATGGCACAAAGGTCATCTGGCCAGCGTCCAGAACCTTCAAATTGTAGTACGACTGAGGCAGGAGTGTGGCCTGGGGATGGAACATCGATGGATGAATAACGTAATTGCGGGTCCGCGGCTCTCAGATGACGAAGTCGAAGCGGGAGCTCTTCCAAGTCCCGGATGTCCTTCTCCATTGCACTGAAAGCGTTCATAATAGGTAAGAATGGCGCCGTTCCGGATTGTCCCTGCATCTGACCAGCCGGTATAAGGCGGCCGAACGCATCACTTGAGAACCTGGCTGACTCTGCCACTTTGTCGCCCACATGCTTACCTAAGATGTAAAGCACAATCTGTTCCATCACCGAAGCTGATGTGTCTTTGACGGACCAAACAACACTCTCGAGAATGCTACCATCCTTGAAGCGCCTGAGCTCCGCCTTCTCGCCCCAGAATTTGCGGAAGGAAGCAGCTTCCTGCTTGTTCTCTGCGGAAGGGCCATGATCAACGGTACGAGTGGCGTTTGCAGGATCCGTAGCAAAGTTTACAAGTATGCTCTTGCTTTGCTTTTCTTGCGGGCGTCGCGATGATATGGACCAGGATTCCTCTCCAGGCATAGTAAAAGACAGAGCTGTGATACGGTCACCAAGAGCGCGGGTCAGGGTACTGTTGATTTTCCTGCAAGTCTCGGTAATACGTTGGTCGTATTCCTCGCCTGCTGTATCAAATCCAAGCGACGCGAAGGGGATTTCGAGTGTGGCGTCGTAACGGTACTTCAACAACTCTGTCTTCAGAATAAAGGCAGCGTCGAAGTGATCGAACACAGAGTCGCTCAGCATGTCTACAGTTGCTTTGGCTTCAGATCGCAAGCGCGAGTAGGACCATGGGGTCATCTTGAAAAGGACGTTCTGTCCTCGCGGTCCGTCAAACACGACAGGCGAAGTCTCTGTCTTTGGTATAGTAATGTTGGTTGCCTGGAAGATGAATGGTTTCTTGGTAAGATCGCCTCTCGACAAGAACTGCAGTGTCGACTTGAAGAGTTGATAGCTACTGAAACCAGAAGAAACGGTTTGAGCGCCAGTTCCGGCATTCGGCTGCAAGAGTATAGCCATTATTGCAGCCCATTCGAAATTGCCAAATCCCCCCTTGCGAAGCTGACTGGCAAAACCACGCTGCTTCAGCCAAATACGACCAAGTATACAAGCATCCTTGAACGCTTCAGCTCTCGATGCAGTACCGTGGAGAAGCTTGAGGTAGGCTGTGACGTTGGTGTCCGACTGTAGGGTGTTGTTGTAGAATGGCGTTGCAGCAAGAGCCTTGCCAGACGCTTCGTCGTCGCTGCCCTTGGGGCGCACGCAGTTCGAGTTGGGCAAAAGTTTACCTGGCGCAAAGGTGTTTTCTGGCAATGCGACCAAGATGTTGATATGGCATTTGGAGCTCGAGAAGTCATCAGCATCCCCATTTCCGCTCGGACGTACAGTCAAAATGGGCTGGAGCTGGTTTCCATTCAGAGTGTCGAAGGACAGTTTGAACTTGTGCTCTTTCGAAGACTTGATCCCAGCAGCCAAACAAGCCAGATAGTACGAGCGCTTGTAGAAGTATCGGTGGTTCAAATAGTCCTTGTCGGTGAAGATGCTCTTCGGCATTGTGACTACCAGATCGACGGAGAAGACGTCTTCGTGTCGAGTCGCAGTCTTGAGCGGGTAACTGCCGGTCGCATTGATGCTCGCAGGTCGTCCATACTGCAGCTTATACAAGGCGTCTTTCGGCGGGCGAGGAGTGGGGAAGGGAACTGCGACGCCGGCTGACTTGAGGGCTTTCTCGGCTTCAGCGATCTGCGTATTGTCAGCTCATGTTGCTTCCATTCGATTCTTCTGTAACGAACCGGTAGTGGATCGCGGCTGGGTATCTGCTCAATGATGGTCTTGAGGGTTCGCATTGCGTTCTCTGCAGGAGCTTCTCTCTTGCCGTACTTCAGCTTGACCTGATCCAACAGCTCGTCCAGCTGGAGCTTGAACATGTTTGACTTGAAGGACTCGGCAGTGTATACGCCGTCCTGGAGGCTCGGCGCAGGTCTCTTAGGTGGCTTCGCTGCGCTCGTCGCTTTGCCGGCGGTGGTCTGCTTTCTGCTCGGATGAACATCTGCCTCTTCCTCGAAGTCATTTTCCTCATCCTCGCTTATGCTCTCGTCATCCTCGCCATCTTCGGCGGCTTCCACGCCGTCCATGTCGTCTCCGCTCTGGGCGGTTGCATCTTCGGCGTCGCTTGCGTCCAGCGCGGCTCCAGTGTCGGCCTCACCAAAGTCAGCAAAACTCCCTTCGCTCTCAGCTTCCGAGTCGCTGTGCTCGAGCTTCCTTCGTTTTGTCGCGGGTGGGGCCATGGCGGTTGTGCTTGAGGGTTGGTCGAATGCGACGCGAAATTTCTCTGGACTTTTGGCGCGACAAGGGTCGTCTTATCGATAGCAGGGATCAAGCATGTCGCGTCCCTTACATCACACCCCTCATTGACAGCTCCACGAGCTCCTCACCTGGGCGCGCTTGCCACATGTACTCTATGCATGCACCATGAGCTATTGACAGTCATAATCGCGTTAGCCTGGAGCTTCATGGTGGTCAACAATACACATGAGTACACATCTACTTGACTATAGTATCCTTTCCCCTTGCTTTCCTAAAACATCTCTACTCACGGTGCCGTTCCTAACTAAGCTCAACCGCATACGCGGGCCCTCTCTTTCCACCAGTCACCGCCATATCGAGGTACAGAGTAGAGCTTTCAGCATGGCTTGGCGAAGTTCTGGAGAGACTAACGAGGCGCTGATCACAAATCTCGTAAATAACAAGCTTATTGGGTCTGAACGTGTCAGAGACGCCATGCTACGGGTAGGATTAGACGTGTCGAAAACAACAATTAGTTCAGGTATAATAACAGTCAATAGGTTGACCGCGCGCACTACGCCCCAGCATCACCTTACGAAGATTCTCCACAGCCTATAGGCCACAAGGCCACCATCTCCGCACCGCACATGCATGCTTCAGCGTGCGAAACACTTCTCGACCACCTGCAGCCCGGTGCCAAAGTCCTTGATGTCGGTTCCGGCTCAGGCTATCTTACAGCTGTTCTCGCCAACCTAGTTGCGCCTAACGGAACCGTCATCGGCATCGATCATATTCAGCCCTTGAACGATCTAGCAGACAGCAACATGCGGAAGTCAGAAGAGGGACAGAGCATGTTGGAGTCAGGGCATGTCAAATTTGTGACCGGAGATGGGCGGAAAGGTTGGGCAGAGGGCGCACCGTACGATGCCATTCATGTCGGAGCTGCTGCTGCTGTCCACCACCAGGCCTTGACCGATCAATTGAAAGCTCCGGGCCGGCTCTTTGTCCCAGTCGCCGAAGGCCGGGCGCAGTATATTTATGTCATCGACAAGAAGGAAGACGGTAGTCTTGAGCGCCAAAAGTTGTATGGTGTACAGTATGTGCCGTTGACGGATGCGCCAGTGTAGGTCAAGGTAGAAAATCCAAGGGTCTTGTAGTCTATAGCCGTCTTGTACCACTACTATCCAACCATGCCCTCGAACAACTCGTCTCTGCTCCTACGTAACTCGTCAAGCCTAACCTCCAGCTTACCCACTTCTTTCCTGGCAGCTTCCTTGTCTGCAGGTAAGCCGCCAAACTCGGCAACCTGCCGCTCCAAGCCCTCGACTCGTTCTCGCAGCTCATCCAGAACCTTCTGCTGCTCCAACATGTCGGTGATGGCCTCGGCAGATCCAATGTTCTTGGATCCTGGCGTCATATTTCGCGACTGCGATGATTGAAGGGACGACAATTTGTCTTCGTGTTCGCGGATCTTTGTACGTAGGTGCTTAACCTGACGCGTCTGTTCCGTCGTCTGGCGCTGGAGACTGGACGGCGTTGCGAAGGCGGGGTTCGTTTGCAGCTCGTGCAGTTGGGTTCGGAGGAGGGTTTGCTGCTTATCCAAGTAGTTCTGTAGCGTGTGAATATGCGCCAGCTGATTCGTGAGGCTCTGTGAGGCGGTCGTATGCTGTATGAGAGCGTGCGCGATGGTCTCAGGGTTGGCGGCCGGTACATTGAGGGCTACAGCTGTAGATGCCAGCGCATCAAGCGCCTGCTCGCCTTCGGGAGTCAGGCTTGCTTTGAGGCTCGATAGTATCTGTTCGTCGTCTTCATTCCTTTGGACCTACCGTCGTGAGCGGTGTGCTCGAAGCGCGACTGCTATTGCGGACCTATAATTCTCATACCTCATCCAGCTCCTTTAAAGCCTCCCTCTCTAAGCGCTCCATTACCGTCCTCTCATCATCCGCCCTCTCGTTCGCCATAGACAGCTCACGGAGTACTTTGAGCGTTTCGTCATTGCGCTCGAACGTCGGCACTGTACGACCAGCGTACTTGTACGACAGCCATGAGTCGATATGCGCCCAGTCCTGAGCCTGCGCACGTTGCTGGCGCGCCTTGGATGGCGAGAAGAGGTCCGATGGGGTGAGGTTGTCCATTGTTGTGCTGGTGGTATCGTGTCGATTGGGGAGCTAGCCTAAGCTCCTACAGAAGAAGACAACGCAAAAGTGGGGCCAGTGCGAGCGTGAACCGGTTCAAATGCCCCAGTCGAGGGTGCATATGTGGATGCAGTCACGTTCCGGGCTGCCATAGAGAAGCGGAGAAAGTGACGCTGCATTATCGATAACCTTAAATTTCCACTTAGCACGTCGCAAGTGCCGAAGTCGGAGCTAATCGGCTTTTGGAATAATCCCTTGTGCAATTGGAGTCATTGCGTCTTTATATCTGATTTACCTGCCCCATTACTGGTGTCCCCTTCACCCTTTAGTCGCTGTTCTATTATTTCTCACCATATCAACTTTCGACATGTCGCCAATGGTCCTGGAGAATGACGTAGAAGTGGGAGAGAGTCTGCCACCGGCAACTGAGCACGTGCGTCCAACTTCACTAACTGACTCCATACAATGTACTAACGAGTGTAGGCTGTGAGTGTCTCACTGCCGACATGGCGGGCAAACGTAGGATATGAAGAGGGTGAAGAATGGGTTATCAGCAAAATGAAGACTGGCTATCCTAGGTGCGGTGTGGCGAAGTACATGGCGAACGCACGCTAACCATCAAAAGATTCTTTATACATAAGGTTATACAAGCTTTTGCGGCTGCCATTGTCGAGAAGCATGGGAAAGATGAAGAGAGTGCGATGCTGTTCCCCACAAACGCCACCGCATCAAGATGTCAGGACTTCTTCCTACGGCAAGCACCCGACCTGGATGCGTCGCAAGTCCGGATTCTTGATTTCGTACCTGCAGCTGAGAGAGCACGTTCGGAAGAGTTGCAGATCATATCCCCGAGAGTCTCAGCTGTCCTCTTCCCAAAAGAGCGCTTTAGCATTGCCAAAGCATTCTGGCAGCACTCTGGGGATGGTGTGTCAAGTCGAAGAGCGGAGTACTGCTCCCAGCTTTTCAAGGAAGGCATTCTAGTAGACGCTTCGACGCTTAATCAGTCAGCAAGAGTATGCAAGGGTCCCAGACGATATCAGAAGAAGACGTCAATTGACCTGGACACCTCGGGCGATTTCACCAACGGCAATGGAGAGGTGCAGGATCCCACTCAGTTTGTGGAAGAGAGATTTGGTCGAAACCTGGATCTCTCCAAAACTAAGAACGCAAAGTTAGCCATTCGCCGGCGCATCGCGGGTTCATTGACTGCGGACGTCAGTTTGACAGAAGCAATGACCTTGGATCATGATGCTGCAAGGAGGCGGCCGGTCGCAGGATTCTCTGAAGACGATGTATATCTGTACCCCACAGGAATGAGCTCGATTTTCAATGCTCACCGGAATCTCTTGAGAGCAAAGGGCTCAAAGAGAGCCATTGTTTACGGGTAAGCCTCTTACTTCGTCCCTTTATACCACGCTTACAAAATCAGCTTCCCTTATATCGATACACTGAAGATAACCGAGAAGTTCGGACCAGGCTCGCAGTTCTACGGGTTCGGCTCAGCAGAGGAGCTGGACGACCTCGAACAGCGTCTGGAAGGCGGCGAAAGATTCGTCGCGCTGTTCACTGAATTCCCAGGAAATCCGCTGCTGAGGTCACCAGACCTAGAGCGGATACGCAAACTAGCGGACCAGTACAACTTCTGCGTAGTTGTAGATGAGACTATTGGCAACTTCATAAACGTCAATGTTTTACAATATGCCGACGTCGTTGTCAGTAGTTTAACCAAGGTCTTTAGTGGAGACAGTAACGTGATGGGTGGAGGGTAAGCACTTCTTGTACGTCTCTATTCCAGAGAACATCTGCTGACAAACGTTTAAAGCCTCGTGCTCAACCCAAAAGCAAAGAACTATGCCCTTCTCAAACGAACATGGGAAGAAGACTACGAAGATAACCACTGGGCCGAAGACAGCATCTTCCTCGAGCGCAACAGCCGAGACTTTGTCTCAAGAATTGATCGTATCGGTACCAACGCTGAAGCCATCTGCGATGTACTGAGCGCACACCCTCGCGGTATGTTTTCCCTCCATATCTTTGTATTTCTATTACACCCTTGCGTTCATATACTTTCCGCCGTCACATGTCAAATCAAAGCATCTGCCTAACACTAGACAGTCAAACAAGTAAACTACCCCAAAACGTCACCAACTCGCCATTTCTACGAGAAATGCCGTAACCCCAACGGTGGCTACGGTGGTCTCCTGTCCGCGACCTTTTTCACTAAAGCGGACGCGATCGCTTTCTTCGACAACCTCGACACCGTGAAAGGACCCAGTTTAGGCACAAACTTCACGTTGAGTTCGCCCTACGTGATTCTTGCGCACTATGGAGAATTGGACTGGGTAAGTAATTTACCTTCTCTCTCGCTGCTGACATGGCGGCTTTGCTAACAATGGTATCATAGTGCGCGAAATGGGGTGTTGAAGCTGATCTGATTCGATTTAGTGTGGGGTTGGAGGAGACAGGCAAACTAGTCGAGACATTCAAAAGGGCGTTGGATGCCATTCCTTCTGCGCAGTCGTAGTTTGGGGCGAAACGAACGAGAAAGTAGCTGCAAATATAGCGATGCAGGCCGAATTTTAAACGTACCGATGTATGGTTACTGAACATTTGCTAAGTGTCTCGTACTTGCTGTATGCAGCTGCAGATATCGGTGGCACTTATCTATTGAAGTCGTTGCCATGGATCTCGTGTCCAATTCATGCAGTGAGAGTCCGGGCTACGGGCGTGCTCCTTCAGCCATGAAAGAAATCTCTGTACGTCCCTCGTTCGTTACCACACTCATGAGAGAACATCATGCTCTGTGTCGATCTTGCACTCAGGACGGGAAAATCAGAATCGAGAAATGTCTGACGCAGATCTTGCGCTGCGGTGGACACAACTTTTCGGACATACGCCGGGATCAGAACCTGGTCATGAGAGAAAGAACGAATGCGTCATGCTGGAACCATTGTGATCGATTCCACAGGTTTTGGGTGGATCATGTCACTGATGATGGAGAGTGAACATTGTAGCGAGTCAGTAGACACACTATACGCATATTCCCGACGGAAATCAGTTTCCCCGTCACATCTGTGACGTTTTGTTGTTGATCGTCATAGGTGTTTTCCACAACGTGCACATATTGCTTAGGTATGTTCTGCGACACGTACTCGGTAATTACTGGCCTCTAGCATAGCCGAAGTATCATTACCCTTGACTATCCCATGCAGGTACCCATGTTGGTCTGACAGTTCCCCGATGCTCGTGTCGCAAACTTCAATCGTTCTTGTCTGAGTGCATTTGTTGGTTCGCAAAAGCTACCTGGGCCGTTGCTGGATCGTTAAGGCAGGCCGTTCTATTGATTGGATGCTGTGAGGCTCTCTGGGGCGGTTGAGCAGTTCCGACATTCCGGAGTGAAACACAGTAAGCAGTATGGAAGGCCTAAGAGGGCTGTGATTCGGCCAGGTCATTTGCAAGATCGAAGTCCAGTAGCGATCAATGCTGAGGCTTGGATGAGGTCTTGTAAGGCGTCTGCTTTGTCACTAAGAATAATTGGCTTACGATGAAGGTAAACACGCTCCACGTCTCTGTGGAGACGCGCAATGGCAATGGAACAGCGAGCCAGTAGTAAATGCAACTACGATTAGTACTGTCAGTGATTTGTAATTGACAAGCTGCGCGTGTTACGTTGTTCTTTCGATATCGTGTTAGACGAAACACCTAGGTACTTAGTTGAGCCTGTATAGCAGGCACTATGCTAAGAGCAGAAACGGTACCTCCACACATTTGAATCAGTCATTTGCATATTCGACCTGACGCAGCGAATTCATGCAAATTCAGCTTCACTTGAGAACTTCACAGTGTTGTCATAACTGCTAACAGCCGTGACAGCTATAGTGTTTAAGTTGGCATAGTGCGATCCAGACGATATTGGAGGTATCGTATGAGACATGTGATAAATGTGCCTATAGTACAATACCGACAATGTGGGGACTCCAGTCCCTGCGACTTACCAGGGAAATACCAGGCCGGGCATTTTAGCTTCGCATGAACTTCGCTTCATGCTGCCTGGCGTGAGTGCATCTTAAGCTCGGCTTCGTATGGTCCATCAGGCGTGCCAGCGGCGGCTGGGAAATATTTGCGTGAGCAGACTTGCAGCAACCCAGGGCTGAGCCTCAATTTTTGGGGGACCTGAAGACTACGGTCGCCGCCGATGCGTTAAGGCTGACCAACCTTGGAACCACGGAGATGCCTGCGGGTACCGTGGGTCTTTAGATAACAGTAGACTATGAGTCCCGCACGCGGTTATCTCGTGTCCTTACACACATGACCGCAACGGTGGTATCAGTGGCCAGGTGGTGACTGACTTGCATAATATCAGAGCTATGATGAAGCCGAATGATTGCTGCCGGCCGGCATCCTTTACGTGCTCGCGTACCAGGGCGGAATCGGTATAAGTCGACTCCGGCGCAGTGGATCCACGCAAAACTGAGCCGTCTCAAATTCGAGAATAGGCAGGACCCGCTACTTTCGGCGATAGTGATTTGTGGCTTTGATGAGATGGCTGTTTAGGGGGAGGCGTGGAGTTACAATTGGCGAAGAGCCCTGTCCAATCACAAGGGCCTTGGCACTCATAGCGCCACGACACACTTCACACGCGTAGCTGTGCGCTCGTCATTGCACTAGGGGGTCACGATGGCCTGAGTTCTACATACGGAGCCGAACTCCAGTCTCCGCAAACACATCAAAGGTCAAGCTTCTCTCGGAGTGGGGCCAGAATATCTACCGTGAAAGGCAGCACTTGCATGCCCCTCCGAAATTTCAAACACGTGGACTCTTCAGCATCCCATCCCAAGGTCTCGTTTCGGTCTCCACCATTTCCCTCTGTACTTTCATACAGAGTTGTTCCCAGAGTCATATGTCTTCTCTGAAGCTTCGAGATGTCTTCCAGAAGTGACACCACTGCAGGCGTGCCGCCAAGTTCTTGCCGTTCACATTAACGGCATCGCTTCCGAAAGACAACGGGCCGCTTAGGCATTGGCCAGCACGTGCTCGGGCGATACTGCAGCGAGCCAAATTTAGAACGACACAATGAGCTGTGCATTGGCAGAGCATGACACGGGGTTTGAATTGATGAACAGCATGCTCCCGTGGCAGTGTCCGTGATCTTTCAGGTTGAAGCTGAGCATACGCCACCCCTCTTTCGACCGCATCTTACCCGAAGCCGCACACATCCTGTCTATCGTGTATTGTCGCGGCCCACCCGCGGCTAACGCAGAGAGATCTGACAGGCCATTTCTCAACACCAAACTTAACACGGTTTGGCTCTTCGTCACAGGCGCGGGATTATGAGCGCCACCAACCCTCTGCTTGGCGAATAGGGCGCCCATCAACGCCAGCATTCGTGGCACCGCCAACGCTGTATGTAGCGATGGCATCACTTGATGGTTGTCAGGGACAGACTTTCGGATTAGTGGTGGGGTCATGGCGAAGAAGTTACTGGCAGAACACGAGGCATGCCTACAATCCTCGGATCTAGAGAGAGTCGCGCAATTCTTCCTGGTGCGTGGGTACCCCCGGCCCAGGCCTGCCAGGCACCCATTGCGGGTGCACGTCCTGTGGCTAGTCAACGGTCGGAGGGCTAGGATTGTTCACGACTAGGATCAGCATCCTTCGAGTCCGCAGCCGCAAAGCCGGCTCTGTCGCTGTTGGGTCATGAAGCTCAGATGCTCTGTTACTGTGCATCCAGTATCCCCCATGTAGGGCGCAGACCACATGGGCACCGTCAAACGTCAAGGTTAGATTCGTGATTCTGCCTCGCATTCAACTTGCCATAAGGCTGGTATAATCCCACCTGACGGGCCGTGTCCAGAAACACAAACGTACGTCTACCCCACTGGTACTCTCCGCATCAGATGTTGCTTTTCAGTTGTTGAACATGACCCATCGGTCTTCCAAAACCCATCAACCCAAGACGACGACCATCTCACGAAGACTTAGGGACCGTGCCGACCAGAACTTATCTGTTCAGCCACCAGAAATTCCACAAATAAGAGGAGCTCGCTCCCACCGTGCCGCAGACTTGCCAACGCCCCGCCACAATTCCATTGATTATCAGACGCCCGGGTCGCACCCACTTCCACTAGCCTGGAATACTTCACACGTTCTCGAAGACATCCCACCTAACTACACCTTCCATTTATTGGAATCTGACCACGACCCGTCTCCCAATCCTTCTTTTGCGCAAGCATTAGATTTCTCGCATCACGAGTCCCTTCAAGGTTCCAACTCCGAACTCGAGTCAAGTGTCAACCTTCGAGCGGCGCACATTTCACACGACCAGCCCACACGAGCACCCGCTCTTGTCTCATCGCCAGTATCTTCCATTTCTGGTAGCAACGACCTCGAGCTACAGTTGTCGGCAGACCTCGAGCAGCCGAACAGATCGTCTCTAGAATTGCAAGATATGAGGTATTTTACCCCACTGACTATAACGTGAACGTCAACGTTTTCTGACACGAGCAGCACCTTGGGCTTCATGATGCCATCTTCGCAGTACGGTATGGGTCATTACGGCTCTCCACAGACCTCTTACTCATCAGGCTATCCACCGCTGCAATCTTACGCGGAGCCAAGGTCTTCAAACTCAAATCCATACAGCTCATCTTATGCTTCAAGTCCAGTGCACAACGAAAGTCAGCAAAGAAGACCTGATCAACACCCTATTTTGCCACCATACCAGCCCCAGCACCCATCACTTCCACGGAGTCCGTACCAGCAGCAACAGTCTACCGATCTTTTGCGAGGCCATGCATCTCCTATGGCTCCTTCGGCACATTCTTACACGTATTCAGCGCCCCATAATAGCGTCCCGGCTCAGTCACTGGGTAGTAACACATACTCATCGTAAGTTGATCAGGAATCTAGCGGAGATCGTCACTGATAAAAGGTAGTTCACAACCGTACCCAGCAACTACTTATGGTTCCAACGAGTATCACCCTCTACCAACGATGTACCCACCAACGACCACGACACCTGCCGTGTATCCTTCGTACGAGTCTTCGCAGAGTGCTCCACCACCCAGTGGCTCAGTACCTGCACTGTCTTCATCACCGAGCACGCAAGGTAATTCAGTAATGCCACGTGTTGTGAACTCCCGACCAAAGCCGCAGTGTTGGGAGCACGGGTGCAATGGACGGCAGTTCTCTACATTCAGTAACCTTCTGCGACATCAACGGGAAAAATCAGGAACTGCGTCGAAAAGTTCCTGCCCCAGATGTGGAGCTGAGTTCACACGTACTACTGCAAGGAATGGACATATGGCGCATGATAAATGCAAGCCAAGAAGAGCATCAGAAGCAAGCGGATAGATGAAGTCGCATCTCACTGTTTGATCTACCTAGAACTATCCATGTCGCAAGGGGCAGAAGTAGAGTATCGCTCCGTCTGAGCGAACACGCCGAGTGCAAAATGGCACAGTATGGTCCTAGGCACCGAGCCCTGGCCCACGACGAAGATATGGACGCACCGAAGCGGAGGCACGCCGGTAGGCGACTGTACCAGCCCGGGGCCACCCAAAGGCCCAGAATCTTCGATTCAGTCGCTACAGGGCGCGTATGGACTGCGCGAAAACCATACTTACAAGTCGCTGCACACATGTTGTGCTTTTGCACTTTTCAGTCTACACCAAGACATTTCGGTACGGTGCGTGCGTCACGACCGTTCATTAAAGCATTCGGCCACCGGGAGTTCCTTTCAGCATTTTGATTATAATCAAGCGCTTATTTATTGTCATGATACATATGCATACATAGATTTCGGGTACACCTGTCTCAGAAGTAGGGAAAGCTACTGCAACAAGCGGTCTTTACATCCTGTTTCCCATCAATCTCAAGATCATCAACCGTCAAAAGATACTCGCACGTTCAACGAGCCATATCAATTTATTCGCCATGACCCGTCGTACAAGAAAGACTGAATTACGGAGGAGGGCGTCGGGCGTCAGCCCGTCGAGGGATTGCGGGAGGATTTGGAGGAGCGTGCAAAGCAGGAACATGGAGTTCCTGCTGCTTGGGGGTGCCCTGGTAGCTCTTCCCTGCGATATATCCGACTACATGGTTCACACAGAATCATCGGTCAGCACCTTACTCCATATCAGGGTCCACAGACAAACAGAGAATCAGGCCGACGTTGTCCCGCACGGCATGGTTCGGCACTGCCGCGCGAAATCTTAATGCGAAAATTCATAGCTTAAGCTAAAGGGGGAATTTTACCGACCAACCTCCACGATTCAGCAAGAAACACCAGATCGCAAGGCAATTCCGATATTTTCTAGCACTGCAATCTTAATCTTGACTTGCGACAACTGATCTCATTGCAAGCCCCATATTCATGACAAGTCTCGTACCCGGGTTGCAATTCGCCATATCCTTCACGCCATGCGCACCAATTATCATGAGCCGGTTTCATATTGCATTAGCCGTAAACAGGCGAGCAAGGCTGCCGACAAGCTCGCACGGCTTTTTGCGAATTTGAGTAACGATCAAACTAGCGGGCCGTTGTCGCCACGACTTGGGGCGGGTAAGCCTTGTAAAGAGCACCCACCGCTGTGGAGAAAGACCAACCACGAACCGAAGATACCGAGAGGCGCCACTGGCGCGCAGCATTGTCTGACAGATTGTCCAGTTTAAGGTCAACAACCGTGGTCCGGGCTGCTGTACTCAGGTGAACCATGTCACCGGTATAGCGGCGGCTACGGTAGCAGTGTTGATTCGCTATTCTCTTGCACCTTGACATCACCGGGCAGCGGAACAATAAACCGCAATGTGTGTGGTCCCTTGTCTCGGAAACTGACAGCCGCATGTTGGCGTGACTTCCAACACCGAGATGCAGAAGTACATATGCATATGTGGGATGCTCCGGTGACGTGGATATTTCCGGTCTTGATATGCAATGTGCAATCAAACACACGTTCGGTGGCTTACTGGTTGCGGCAGGCAGCTCTAGTCGACGTGCATTAAAGTGCGTGATTGAAGCTTCGGCATGCATGTTGCCAAGACAGTCACTGCAGCTCAGAAACGCGACTAACGCCATATTACTGATCAAGAAAATAGGTATGAATATCATTATTCATGTTTCGCCCTGGTCTTGCTCCGCAAGACCCGCACTGACACGCATATTGCGATACGCACCCGACTCTAGGACGGACATGTAACCAAAATCCGGTTCATCGCAGTCGCTTAATCGTGTGCTGTGCAGGCGCGGCAGGTTTAGCGTAGGCTCGGAACCATACCACTGGAACTACCCCTAGGTAATTGGCTCCTGACCGCTTCGCGCAAAAGATTGTGCCTAAGCACGGGATTTCGGTCGATTTCAAGCACCGGGCAGTAATGACGCGAAAGGGTTTTCGATGTTCCAACCTGTTTCGCCCCCACAGCAGAGTGCGAACCTGACATGCTTTGCTGACCAGTGGATCGAGTCGAGCTGGGAGAATCGCAAGGATTATCCGGCGGGGCGCGGCTGCGCGGGAAGGATGACAGTCACTTGATCCCTCAGTAGACTTAACAAGGATGGGACATGGGGAGCACTGAGTTCTTGACGTTCGGTAGCACGTGAAAAGCATTGCGTTCGGCTCCGATCTCAGCTTCCTACAAGCGAGTAGCTGACGAAGTAACGCAGTGGCGGATCCGGAACTCAGGAACCGGAATGAACTCGAAGTAAGGCCGCGGCGTGTACCACTCCACTCCACCATCTGTGGTACCCAGGGTGGACACGATCGAGCTATCGGTCCGCTCACCAATTTGCATACGGAGTTTCAATGATGCAAAACTGCCTTCAGGGCTTTAATGGCCGGAGTGCTTGCCGACCTAGGATATCATTGCCGGTGGCACAGCAAACAGGCGCAACCCCCCCTTGCCCACTTTGCCTATCTCAAAATACTTGAATCGTATGTTTTCCTCAGGCGACCGTAAACCCGCCCCACACCACAGCAAAACCACATTCTAGATCGCCTACATGAATCGAGAAAAAGTCCAGCAGAATAGAGCCAAGAAATGATAGACATCTCGCTAAGTACGCATCATGCGATCTTGACGAAATTGTGGTAATGTGTGCATACAGAGATCTTCCGCAGAGTCTACGCATGCTCTGAGTGCTTCAGCGATGTGGTCGAGACGCGCAAGAAAATCGGCAACGTCTCCAAATCCGAGATGGGTCCGCGTGTCTAGAGCACCGCGCCGCAAGTGACAGATACTAGTGTGGCTGCCCAGTACAGGCAATCTGTCATCGGTCGACTGTGATAAGACATAGCACACACAGAAAGAAGGGTTGCGAGAATACAACTCACGACGATACTCTAACACCAACAGCAAACTTCCTGGTCGTGAGCTGTTGCGGGAATTATAACCGGGTTTTCGAAGTACGTAGTTGCGCATACGCAAGGCTGCATGGCCAAGGTTGCACAAGGACTCCAGGACCATGGAAGCCTCATAGCGCTCGCGTGTTGCTGACGCCCACCCGCTACTGCGGGATACGTCTGCAGTGTCACCAGTCACCTTCGAGAAAGCCGGTTAAAGGCAGCGCCGCCTCCCAGACGGGATGACGCTCCAAATGAGGCGGCGGCATACGCGTGGACATAGATTAATCGCACATGGCGGCCAATAGCCGCTGCAGGGGGGAGAGGATTGAGCCATTCTATAGTGGTGAGCTCCAAGCCCGTAAGACGGGCATAACATGATTCCGCATACACATAGGGTATGCTTGACGTAGCTTTTCAGCCTCAATCGCCGTAGAGGAACCAAGTCGTCCGGACGTCAATACCCGGCACGCTTCTGCGACGTAGGGTATGTATCGATGTTTCTCATGCGCTCACGGGCACGAGTTGGAGCGAGCATCTGGCTGTCTGAGTAGCTACACAGGCGTGCACAGTCATGCAACGCCCTTCTGAGGCCAACATGTGGCGCACGTGTTGGTCGCGGCCAAGGATGCCATTAGGCAGCCCTACTGACTGTTGGGCGACTTTCCACGACTGCACCTCACTATCGCTCTCAGGCTATGGATGCCTAAAGGACGCGCTCAGCTCGACCACGATCATGATTGTCATGCCCGATCTTCTTACGAGACTAGGGCATATATTGAGAGTCAGACATAGTGTCAAGCATCTAGCAATCGGGGGAGACGAACGGGTAGGTACGATGTTCGAATGACGAGATACGCAGCAGCGACACGTTCCAATACTGTCTGTGGTCTGCGAGTCAGAGGATGTTACCAGTATGCTCTGCATCACAATTGCTCTGTACTACGTGTCCTGTCCCCTCCTGCATCTGCTGCACTACTCTTTCAGTGTGGTAGAACATGAACAGTATAGCAAGAGACAATTTCGCTGTCCTTGACGCTATACCATGTGTCGGACACAATTCACCAGCAAACGCATCAACATGCACCAGACAAGCATGATGAAGTAGAAGGACACTGATTGCGAATCAATGCAACCTCTGTAGCGACATAGTTTGACCGAGTCCAAGCTAAAAGGGCGACAAAAGGGCGTTAAGCCTTGTGGTGATCCATGTGAGGCTGAGAGCGATGGATGATGGCCCGCCCCGCACGACGGTGACTCCCCGCAGTAGGTAGCATGAGCAAGCTAGGACCAACGACTAACCTTGGACATGGCGACCTCGATACTCCCAGCAACCGTCAACCATCTCATGCCATTGCACCTTTACCACCATCAACAGCGTCGTCATCTTTAACTTGCCCACTCTAATGTCTTTCTCTAATCTGTGAACGCCAGCGTGGCACCTTCACGCAACTCGCCGACGAGTTGTTTCTAGTCGCTGCTTGACGAAGTCCCACTCAACGTTTGTGCTCTACACCCGTCACCATGCTTCCATTATTATCGCAATTATTCCGGACGCACCTCTTACACACCAACTCACGATCATTATCACGCTTACGCACTAATCCAGCGCAACAACGCGCAACGTGACAAGTCTGGTACTTTGCCCATCACCCTGTTCGATAAGTAAATACAACCACAAAGGGGCTCGTCCATATTACGCGATATGGCTTCTATATTCACCTTCGATCCTGACCCTCCGCGGGTCTCATCGCCATGGGAAACTACTTCCGCCGGCGACGTCGCGCAAACGCCCATCCCATCCACGAATTCTCGACGACTTCCTTCGCCGCTAGGTAGTACCGGGGGCGAAGTGGGGTTAGACA